TATAGTATGAAGTATATAAAAGTATAGCAATATAATGAAGCAATTAAGTGAAAGCTAGTTCACATGTCAATATAAAATTAACATACTACAACAATATTAAATCAAAATACACTTAAAAACATAGCCAAGAAGTCTGAAGTGCTCAGAAAAATTACATTTCAACACGTTTGGTCCCTGAGGAAGAACATGCGACACGATGAAAAGCCCCAGAACAGCTACACTGAGCTTGTTGTGACATTGTTTGGTTTATCTGATGTTTCCAACAAACTTAAATAAATAATACATTTTGTTGAACACTGCTTTGCCACACAATATGTAGATTTAATGGTTGTATGCATGTTCCTGAACGCACCCTTTAAAATGGCGACCTCTAGTGAGGATGTTAATGGCTGTAGGAAGATTCACTACGGAAAGGCAGGTGAACTGAAACTGAACTGTAAAAAAAATAAAATAAAGCTGTTCATAAATACATTTTACAACAACGTAAAGAAGACTACAAATAAATGTATTACAACGAAAAATAAAATTGATAAAACAAACGTTTTTTTTTTTTTTTTTTAAACTGACAGTTTACCTCTGACGCGCTGTTCAGCTCTTCCTCCGACCAATCACAGCCCTCTCTCGTCAGAACACTTCCGCTTTGCTCTCCAACTTGTCTTTCTACCGGAGCGGCTGCTGCGAGCAGATATCAGAGTGAACACCACGCAGGCTTTAGGCTGAAACAGGACACAAAGGTACTTAAAAACGAGGTTTATCAGCTCAACGGCGTTCGGGCTATTTGTTACGACTAGAAAATGCAGCAAGTAGTCTCCGTTCAGTCAGATAATCTAGGCTAACAGGTAGCTAGGAGTGGTTTCAGATAGCCAGGAGCTAACGTTAGCATGCTGTGTTTGAATGACTGTAGCTGCCCGGACACGTTTTCAGTGGAGCCAGCTCAATAGGATGGAGCTACTGAGATCCCACACCTGACTTTTAGCTTGACTTGGCTTTGATGAAATACTTTGACATGGGGTCGTGGTGTAACCAACTTGTCGTAACTCTCGCAGATGCCCCCCAAAAAGGGAGAAGCCCCGAAACAGCCTCCGTTGATTGGACGATTTGGAACCTCTCTGAAGATTGGGATTGTGGGATTACCTAATGTCGGGTAGGTACACGTTTGTTTTGTGAATAAATGAACTAACGTTGGATTCGTCCATCAGGGTTAGTTGTTGCACTGCTGTTGACCCTCTACTGACTCTGTCCACTGCAGGAAATCCACCTTTTTCAATGTGCTGACCAAAAGCCAAGCTGCTGCAGAGAACTTCCCATTCTGCACAATTGACCCAAATGAGAGCAGGGTACCTGTCCCCGATGAGCGCTTTGATTTCCTCTGCCAGTACCACAAACCGGCCAGGTGTGTGTTATGACAGTGTGTGTGTGTTGTGATTCATCCAACATCCAATGGATTTCTGTCTGACTGACTCCTTGACTGGCTGTTTGGTCTCTTTAGTAAGGTTCCAGCTTTTCTAAACGTTGTGGACATTGCTGGTCTGGTGAAGGGAGCTCACGCAGGACAGGGACTCGGAAATGCCTTTCTCTCCCACATTAGTGCCTGCGATGGCATCTTCCACATGACTCGTGAGTTGTCGTTTCTACTGCGTGCAGCTGCCTCGTAGTAACAACTGAGTAGAGTGGACAGGTGCTAGGAGGGCAAGTCAAGAGTTATCACTTCACATCTTAAAGGGGACCAAGAACGTACTTATTTCAGATCTGATTTAAACACAATTTTGCCTAATGTGGATTATTTTATTTAAATGGCTGCCTTAATATAACATTTTGAGGACTTTAATGAAAAGGTTTTGGTAGAAAAACATCTTTACATTTCTCAAAGTATGGTATAAAATAATAATAATCACTTTGGTCTCTGTACACTGTACTTTTGGCACTCTGCACCAGTATTAATATTTTAAATAAACACCTACAATTAAATATATAAGCAGGTTTAATTCACCTGTAATATTAATGAAAGGCCTTCAGATTTCAAAATGTGTAAACATTTGTAACAGGCTGACAATGCCATGTCGTTTTAGGTGCGTTTGATGATGAGGATATTATCCACGTGGAGGGTAACGTTGACCCAGTGAGGGACATTGAGATCATCCACGAGGAGCTGAGACTAAAGGACGAGGAAATGATCACTCCAATCCTTGACAAACTGGAGAAAACTGCTGTCAGAGGAAGTGACAAAAAACTCAAACCTGAATACGTAAGTAAAGTGTGTTTGTGTTTGTGCTATGCAGCTTAAGTCCTGTTTCACATTTGTGTTACTATGCGTCACTATTGGGGGAGGTAAAGGAGATCATAATCTGTTATCAGCATGTATAGATGATATATAACCTGCTGCTTTTTGCTTCAGGACATCATGTTGAAGATTAAGAACTGGATAGTGGATGAAAAGAAACACGTCAGATTTTACCCTGACTGGAACGACAAAGAGGTAATGATGTATGTATGTGCTCGAATAGATTAGTGTGTCTATAAGTGGTGGTGCAATAAGTCCTCTATTTTCTCAGTGGAGTGGGTTAATAGTTTCTATCAGCCTTTATTGCATCCTCACTTGTTTTTGTTGTTTGTCTTTTTGATACATTTCTGCCCTTGTCTCCCCCCCCGCCCTCCCATGTGCACATTAAAAATAAATAATAATAATAAAACCCCAGTGACTGCTGTCACTTAACTTCACTGTGGTTGTAATTTGTTTTCCTGATGGACACAGTTGTCGGGTCATTGCGACATCACCCGTACATATATACTGTCAGTGGTGTGACAGTACAGTTTTTTTCATGATTTGTATTGTTTTGAATTATCTCCACAGATCGATGTGCTGAACAAATACCTGTTTCTGACATCCAAGCCCATGATCTATCTGGTTAACCTCTCAGAGAAGGATTACATCAGAAAAAAGAACAAGTGGTAGGTTTGCATTCAGTGCATGTCCCTTTTATATTTTGGTTTTAAGTATGTAGCTACAGTTGAACATTCAGATTAACTCACACTCCTGCCTGTTTTTCTCAGGTTGGCCAAAATCAAGGAGTGGGTAGACGCTCATGACCCTGGTGCCATGGTGATTCCTGTGAGTGGAGCTATCGAGTCCAAACTGCAGGACATGGAGGAGGAGGAGAGGAATAAGTACTGCGAGGAACAGAAGACACAGAGGTGAGACATAAACACACAGTTTGGTAGGAAAATAGGAAATCCGGTTGAGAAATGGTTTGCTTCCCATGTAGGGCTGCAACTAACGATTATTACGGTATATTTGTTAATTAATTATTAAAAATATCCTTTACACCAGTGTTTCTCAAACTTTGTACCCCAGGTGCCACATGGTTGATAATACAATTAATTAATTAATACAGTTAAATACAAAAGGGTAGGCAGAGCCTGTTCAGCTACGAACAGTTCACACATTCTTAATAAAAAATACTACTTACTGTTGACTGTTGTCGGCCACGCAGTACAAAGGGGTAGCACTAAGACCTGTCAGTACACACAACTCTACTATACCGCAAGGTGTAACTAATCTTGGATGTATGCGTGCGCTATGTTTATGAACGTGACTACATGGCAGGCTGATATTGAAACAAACATATTACAGGAAAGGCAAAACTTATTTTAACTTAAACTTCAGCAATCTCTAAGTATTTTAATTAATATTTTGATAGTTTTATGTTTTTTAATTAGGCTAACTTGTTTCAAATGTTTTCGGAGATTCTTCCGCGTACCGCTAGAGGGAGCTCACGTACAAGAGGTGGTACATGTACCACAGTTTGAGAACCTCGGTACTAAGTACAATACATGTGCATCACATTCTCTTGCAACAGAGACCAACGTCTTCTTTAATGACAGTACCTCAGTGTCTAATGGGAATGGTTGACAGGTAAACATCAATATATGTGTCAATGAGCCTTTTTTACAGCAGATATTTGGCCTATCATAACTGGAAATGCACAGCGGTATCTAAATAACATTTAGGATGGCTTTGTTCCAGTAAGCTATGCCAGTGTCCCAGTGTGCCAGTACCAGGGCCCTGCTACACCAAAATGACATACATGCTATTAATTAGTCCTGTGTTTTTCCTGCTAGGACAGATGTCTGCAGTGCAAAAGGCCTTTGAGTCAACTGAGGGTGAATAATGAAATAAGTCTTGCACCATTGTTCTGTTTAAAAAAGAAGGATTGGATACTGCTTTGTTTGGCTTTAATCACTGAATGCAAATTTAAGATGCATTTTGCTGGAACTGCTTCATCATGGCTTCTCTGTGTATTTATAGTGTTCTGACCAAAATAATAAAGACCGGCTACGCAGCACTACAGCTGGAATACTTCTTCACAGCGGGACCAGATGAAGTGCGAGCGTGGACCATCAGGGTAAGTGCTGTGATATCAATAACTTTTCTTTAAAGTTCATTTTTACCTTATGTCCTTGATAATTAAATCTTGATAGATCCTAAAGAGTTTATTTAAAAACCCTCTGTGCTGTTGTTTAAAGGGAGAAGAAATATTCCACAAAATGTTAATTTAGTACAAACGAAGTTAAAATTTTGTAATTTTTGTTAAATATCAATTTACTTATCCTAAATAGCAAATAGACATTGTCAAATTGGAATAAGTTTTCTCTCTTTCTTGCAGCTTCTGTAATAATATTCCTAAATTGCAATGATTTGTACATTACTAAACATAAATGGCCTGAAGTTGATCGCAGAGTAAAACCTGAGAAATGTGTTCCAAATTTGTATTTTCCTATTGGAACTACATTGTTTGTGCATTTTTCTAGGGGAGTGAGAAAATATGGAATAATATCATATCACCATATTTTGTTTTGGGATTTAAACCCCCATCTACTACATAGCAGTGATGTAAACTGAGAGCTATGATGTTGGATGTTACAGGAACGAATGCTACAGGCCTTCATATTGTGTTAGTGTGGGGAGTTACACTATAATGCTTATCCTTATCTGTAATAAAATCCTTCAAGGTGGAAGTGTCTTACTATATTTTCATAGTTAAGTTGAAATGTTCTGTCCTGTTTTGCTCCAACAGAAAGCTACCAAGGCTCCTCAAGCTGCAGGAAAGATCCACACTGACTTCGAGAAAGGTTTTATCATGGCCGAGGTGATGAAGTACGTCGACTTCAAAGAGGAGGGCAGTGAAAGTGCAGCCAAGGTGCGTGTTTGTAGAGAGCCTGATTATAAGCTTGAATTGCCACACTCTTGAATTTCTGCCAATAGGTACAATGACACCTTGTGAAATGTCTTTGAACACAATTTAAATCTGTCCTCTTCGATTTCATTCACAGGCTGCTGGGAAATACAGGCAACAGGGCAGGAACTACGTCGTGGAGGACGGGGACATTATCTTTTTCAAATTCAACACACCCAATGCCCCTAAAAAGAAACCATGAGTACCACACAGTCACTTTATGAAGAACTCAGAATACAGTTTAGTTGGGCTCCAAAGACCTACACTGCCTGCTGGTTTTCATACTTCTCTCCTGAATTCAGAGGATCAACTCGTGACCTGGTTGGCTAGAGACATTTACTCAACCAGCCACTCAGGTCTGGACCAGAGTCTATTTAAATGATTCTATATAAGAATAGCATACATTCCTACCTGAAATACTTTGAGCAAATTTTTATTTGCACTACTGTACCAGTCAAACGTTTTCTGAAAACAATGTATTCTAGCTTTCAAGGTCTCAAGTAAGAATGGGTATAATTGAACTGAGAAATGTATAATTTCTGACTTTACTGGAAATAACCTAACAAGAAACTATCATCACAAATTGCGTATTGTTTTCTACTTGATGCTGACACTGTTAAACATGCATCAGGCAGTTTTTTTTTTTTTATCAGTGTCCTCTTGTAGATGCTTTTTGATCATTTAAGCCACCGTGTTCAAAGACACTTCTTTGTTCATTTGATGCAATTTGTCTATAAGACAATCTTTGATTACTCTGAGTAAATATGCTTGCCTTCCTGTCATTAGTTGACAATTACAATCATCATGACTGCTGATTAATTGGCAAGCTCTCGCATCTTAATGACACTCTTATTAATTGGTGCTTCATTACAGGCAGATGTGCTCCATCTGTGAAGCAGCCCCTATATAATAAAACACGTGTAAACAGTGCTAGCAGGGGTGGGCGTAATATACAGCATGTGTTATCTGCTGGGTGGCTTATCAGCATTAATTAAGCAAGGGCCATCTTCAATTAGTTCTCAGTTTCTTTATGACTTTTCTCTAATTTAACTTTCCTATTTTTGTGCTTTTCACAATAAAGTCATAATACCTGAGACTTTCCAATAATGCTAGGTGTCTATAAACCTTTGACTGTGTTCACTAGTAAGAGAAAATGAAAGCCATCACTCAGTGTTACACTTCAGGCCAGTACCACGCTGTATTCTGAGGGGGATGATATTATTTTAGACAGAGCAAAGCAGGCGCCCCTGATAGTGCCTGATCAGACACCTGAATTGAGAATGTTGTTATACATGCTGCTTTTATTGACTTAGTTTGGGCTGGTAAACAAAAAAAACACACAAAAAAAAAAACTTTTCACATTAAGAACTCCACTCTGCATAACAAGACAATGCTCTGTGGATCATTTGGACTGTACCGCTTGTTTCACCTTTTCCTCACTCCCCTCCTTGGTGTGAATGTCTTTATTTTTCAAGAGTACATAACAAACCCTCTCACTAAACCTCTTGCCAAATGGTGGACTAAGACATAAGTCCTGTGAACCTAAGGGAAGCCAGGATGTAATAAATGTCATCCTCATCAATATGCATGTGTCAATAAAAGGAGATAAAACCTGTCTGTGCTTTGTGTATTTCTGCTTTTTCCTCGTGTTAGGCTGAAGTCACAAAATGAGGTAATGTGCAGGAACATGAACTGGGACTGTGCGACTGAAATAACCTTCAGCCCCAAGAGGCCGTTTACAGTGATTTTAGCACAGGTAAGGTTGTTTTTCCTGAACGTTTCTCATCCAAGGTGACTCTTTTAAAGCAAAATCCTTGAAGTGCTCATAAAAATGGAAATGTGAACATCTAGATTTTCCATGACAACAAAGCAACTCCATCAGAAATACTTTATTGATCCCCTGGGGGGAAAATGTGTTTGTTACAGTTGCTCACACAATATTAAAGAATAGAAATAATAATTATATAACAATAACGCATTTGCCTCATTTTATAGTAGTTTTTAAATGGATCCAGTGATTAATTGACTAGAATTAAACACTGTAAAGGCCATTTTTCCAGTGACAAACTACTGCTGTATGTGCTGGTTAAATAAAACCATGCGTTTGAAAACTTACAAAGAGTTTTTGGGGGAAATTTAGTGATAACTGGGACAAGAAATACACAGTTACAAGTTAGTGTATGTTTTTTTTTTTTTTTAAAAAGTCAGGCCGTTGTAATGGCAACCAAAACTTAAAAAAAAAAAAAAAACGGACTCGTTGCACGTTTATTGCAGCCAATATGGCGGAAAAAAGCCATGATTTATAATCTACAACTTCATTTGGCGTTAAAAGTGTAAAACAAAGTGTGTGATTTCGACACAAACGCGGCTGTTTTCCGAGTAAACTGCTGAAAAATCCAACAACTGCACTCCACCTCCGGCCTCTCTCCCAACAACAAACAGGAAACACACGTACTCGCAAAAAAAAAAAAATGATTGACGTCCGCGTTGGCCAATGACGCGGACCGAACCCCGCGCGTAGCCAATCGCGTTAGAGAAGAAGGGCGGGACGTCCTGTAATGTGATGCAAATTCGACGGTCAAGCGTGTTAGTCCCGCCTTTTTGTGTTTCCCGCACCGTCAATCAAAATAGAAAAAAAAATCGACCCGAATTCACCGATCAACACTAGCCCGCCTTTGATAAAATAATCATGTTTGGAGTTCAGTTGATCAGATAATCCTCCCGGTTACTACCACTCACGCTATGACTGGTACGTAAACAGTTACCGCATCGAAGCGTGCAACTAAATCGGTGAGTTTTGTGCGACCCGACAGCGAAGCGAGCTGCGTCTTTTTTATCTTTTGCTCTGCTCGCTAACTAGCTCGATATGGTTAGCTAACCGAGCTAGCTGGCTAGCCGCGGAGTTGACAAAGTAAACAGTCAATCTGGGTCGAAATCGCCTCAGAATCTCCGCTGCGAAGTTGAATTTCGCACCCGGCTCCTTTTGGACGGGAGAGTGGGGATGCTTTGCGGGCTTTTCTGGCAGGCAGGAGTTGAAGATTACAGAGTTTTGCTGAGTTTCCCCCTCTCTCCCTGCTAGCGCCAGAGCAGCCTCTGAAACAAGGAGAAATGGCGTCCGCGGACGTGGACAGCAGTCAAAGCGAGTTTCTGCAACCCGGCGGCGCAGCGGAAACACAGGTATCCGACATTTTCTAGCTCGTCTTTCTCGCTCGCTTTCGATTGCTGGTTGTGTTTTTGAGAGCATGAAGTTCACACGTTTTAAAATTTTGATGGCATGGGGTGAAAGCCGTACACTTCCTGTGTTCCCCTCAATAACGGCCACCCACTTTACCCCTGTAAAACCCGCCCATAGTGGGTAGGACACTGAAGTCAGTCACTTGGGTCGGCTCGCTCGAAGATAGCCGGTGTACCTTGGGTTGGGAGGATGTCGGGGGTGTGATAATACAGTAGGGATAGCGTCCATAACCAAACAGTAGCGTTCAATTGTGTTGTAATAGCCACCCATCCCCCACACTCTGCTCTCGACCGGTTCTGAGCCTGTTATCTTCACTCTGTGTGTTGATGGTTGCTTGTATCTCCTGGCTGGCTCATCGTTCACCCTTTGCATCAGCACAAATCCTACATGATTTCCCAATGTGTATGATTTACTCTTTTTTTTTTTTTTGGTGTGTCAGCAGCACAGTCTCTGAATCCATAACTGATTTCCAGACAATAGCCAGGCTGGATTCCCTTTTTTTCCTGGAGTCTAATCTAAAGAGATGAGTCTTGTTGTTGAAGTGTGATCTGTCCTCGCTCATGTGACTGTTGATTTTCCTCCCAGACGACAGATATGTCAGCCATTCAGCTGACGAGTTCAGACCGGTGGGAGGTGTTAACTCCTGTTTCGACTGGGAAGGAAGAAGTTGTTCACATTCCAAACTCGGGGATTGTAACGTCCAACGGGCAGTACGTGCTTCCTATCGGGAGTCTTCCCAGTCAGCCCATTTATGTTACAGCAACTGGGAATGAGGCCTCGGCCAACGGAGTGTCAGGCATCCAGTATCAGGTAAAGAGACAGACACACGTTTTAAGATACAAGTAGGTGTTCTGTTCAGGTGGCGCTCTCGCTCAAACGTACTTGCTCCTTCTTCCAGGTCATCCCCCAAATCCAGAACGCAGATGGGACACTTGCAGGGTTCTCCACACAGGGAATGGATGATGGCACGGGGCAGATCCAGCTCCTCCAGGATGGCAGCCAGGGCAGCATCGGGATCAGCTGTGCCACGACAACGGCCACAGACCTCCTGACGCAGGCGGGGCATGTACAGTCGATCCAAGGCGTCTCGCTGACCGGGGGGTCGGCATACACGAGCACGGTACCCGTTGGGCTGCCCGGCAACATAACGTTCGTCCCTATAAACAGTTTGGATCTGGAGTCTCTAGGGCTGACCGGAGCACAGACGCTCCCCATTGCAACAGGGGTAACGGCCGAAGGTCAGCTGATCATGAGCGGTCAGACGCTGGAGAGTCAGGGTCAGGACGCCGGCGGCAAACATTCGCTGGTGACGGTGAGCGACGCCAGCGGCAACCAAGAACTCTACGTGCCAACCACCACCACTTCCTCCTCCAACTCCTCCCATCTCCCGGAGACCATCGACGGCACCGGGGTCCTGACCCAAGCGACCGCCGTGTCTGCAGGCGTGTCCGACCCCTCCTCTTCGGCGAACTACAACTCCCACAACCACCTGCAGCAAATCCAGGTCAGAGAGCGTGTCTGTGTTATGTGTATGTGTGTCAAGCATGTATGCTTTCAGGCCTCTAAAAATCCTTCAAATGAAACACTCTGAGAAGGAAACATTTGGTCTACACGTAATGGTTTTAACTGGTGATGAGGGTGATGGGTATTGGACCACGATACTTTCCCGGTACTGGCCACAATGTGTGAATTATAAACTGTCAGCTGGCATCAGAAGTAGGGATGCACGATATGGTAAAAACATCATATTGCGATAATTTCGACACAAAAACAAAACAATTAAAATCACGATTGAAACTGGAGAACAAAAGTTGTAGACCGGGGCTCCTCTGCAGCTCTACAGTACTTCATTATAATGCTGTTTTGTCACACATTGTATTTTTATCAAAACATTACAGCTCTGGCGATTTGCATACTGCACTGGGTCATGTTGCGATTTCGATTAAATATGTGGCCCTGATGAAAAGTCTGCTCAGATTTGTAGTCTTTGATTTGAACGTTCTTTGTAACATATAAGAACTTTGGCTTATTTAGTTAAAGGGCACCACTGCTGTAAGGCCACAGTAGATCCCATGTTTCATGCTACGTGTTGTTACTGTGTATTTAACACTTTATGCTTGTTGAAGCTTTCAGTGTGTCTGAAATGTATCCCAAATGTCCCAGAATTTATTTTGCCAACCCACCTAGGTAGATTTGCTTCCTACAAAGGAGTTTTTTGTTTGTTTTCTTTTACTTGCACATATACTGTGTAACTACAATTGGAAGAATTTAGAGTCAGATGTCAGCTTGTGAATAAAATGCTCTGGAGTGTTTGGAGTTCCCCACCCTGATGGTCAACAACCACAACTAAATTCTTAGCCTGTGGGAAATGTTCTGGCTTGATTTTATTAACACGATTAAGGCTTCTATTCACTGTACTGTTAAACTAGGACCTCCTTCATAGGAACATGATGTGAATGCTGCGTTCTCATGCTGCAATTTATATATATATAATTTATAGCTGTTTTCCTTACTCTGCAGGTCTCATCCTCTAATGCCACCACTATCTCGCAGCCCATCCTGCAGCTGTCTGGGGACAGTCAGGCCCAGGTAGCCCAGGTGGCTCAGGGTCAAGACATGAATGCAGGAGGCCAAACTCTACAGAGTGTGCAGTTGGTCAACCCGGGGACCTTCCTCATCCAGGCCCAAACCGTCACCGCTACGGGACAGATCCAGTGGCAGACCTTCCAGGTAACCTAGAAGGACGTTTCCTCAGGAGTTTCATATGAGCATTATTTAAGCAGCATGCTGTGTTTTTGTGCTGTGAAAAGATGTCTGATTACTAATATGTATCCCATCTGTCTCTCTAGGTTCAGGGAGTCCAGTCACTGCAGGGGCTCCAGCTGCCCCAGGGGCAGGGGCAGGCCCAGCAGCTGACCTTAGCCCCGGTCCAGACCCTCCCTCTGGGCCAGACAGGCCAGGTCAGCCTGCCCAACCTCCAGACAGTCACTGTGAACTCTGTAACACAATCTGGGATTCAGTACACACAAGGGGACGATCCGAACAGCCCAGCTGGTATGGGACACCTGCTGCACACAAACGGTTCTATATTTTTATAAGCAAATCTTACATTTCTCAAGTCAAATCACATCAGGAGATCCTTAATCATCTTCTCCTTCCCTGGTTTAGGTATCCAGATAAAGGAAGAGCCAGATGAGGAGTGGCAGCTGAGCGGAGATTCCACGCTGAACCCCAGCGACCTAAACAACCTTCGTGTTCAGATGGGAGATGAGGACATGGAGACGCCGAGCGGGGAGGGCAAGAGGCTCCGCAGAGTGGCCTGCACCTGCCCTAACTGCAAAGAGTCTGGGGGAAGGTGGGCTACTGTCCAAACACACACATTACAGATACACGGATTACATTTGTAAATCAGAAAAAACTAAATGATGTCCTAAAACTTTATTAAACATCATAATTACAGTGATAAGAAATTATATTACAGGTTTTTGCAGCTGCAGCCAGTTTTAATACGACCATAAAATCCTCGTTAGTGACACCTTTCAGTGATACGACTATAAGACCCAGATGTTGCATCGGTTGTACCTGATGTCTCAAATTGGCTTCTATTGTATGCCTCTGTCGTAGTTTTAGAACTTGCGTTTAACTGGAAAAGGTCTGTTGTTAGACTGGTTTTAAATCCTGTTCACATCACATCTAAGCAAATTTATATTTGCATACAAGAACATTCATGCAAATACAAAATGCAAATGTTTTGCGTAAGCCTTTATCCGCACATTGATGTTTGGATTATTATTGTTATTTAGCGTTTTGTGTTTAGCACAATGCTGTGTGTGTTTTTTAAGCATTTGCATTCATGTAATTTGATTCTTTTATTTAAAAAAAACAAACAATCCACAATATTTGTGTCTTGTACTCATTTCGCATTTTCCCGCCATTTCACAGAGGTTCAGGCATGGGGAAGAAGAAGCAGCATATCTGCCACATCGTCGGTTGCGGGAAGGTTTATGGGAAGACGTCTCATCTCCGAGCTCACCTGCGCTGGCACAGCGGCGAGAGGCCCTTCGTCTGCAACTGGATGTTCTGTGGGAAGAGGTTCACCAGGAGCGACGAGCTGCAAAGACACAGGAGGACACACACAGGTGAGACTTTTATTCCCGGTTGTTTTATAAACTGGTAAAATATAAAAAATCATGTTCACAAACACAGTTTTTACGTCCGTTATAAGCCGTAAACGTTTGTACAGGTTGTATCGCCACTTTCTGTCTCCAAGGTTCAGACATTCTGTTCCTGTTGTTAGTCTAAAACATAGCCGATACCAGACTGTTTTCACATCCTTAGAAGATGTTTGAGTGTATGTTATAGCGGTCCACGCTGTTCTTTTTGATTACAGTGTTCAGTGATAAGAGGGTTTTAAGCATCGATTCAACAGTAATGGAGACAGACAGAAAAATTAAAACTGCAGCTCCCACTGCTGAGACATTTTGAATGAATCTGGTTGCTTTACGAAGGCAGTAACCATCAGGGAGCATGTTGTTTAAACATGTTGGCTGATGCGTGACTGTGTACAGCGAACACTCACTAAAAAGGAGATTAACACACGGTTACCAGCCTGTAACGGTTGCTCAAACTGAAACTACCTGGACGGGACTCTTCTCTACTCGCTTTTGGTGCCTCTACTTTGTTTTCCACTGTAGATTGTATTTTTGATAGTACCATCTGAACGTAGGCGGAGCTGAGCGTCACCGCGATGCTACTCCAGCAGTACGTTTACGTCACTGCTCACCCTTTTTCCCTCTGCATCGCTCCCATTCACCTCCCTATCGCTCTCTTTTGCTCATTTACACACCAGCTACATACACACAAAGGAAGGATGTTCGGTGTCGTGTGACCAATCAGTGGTCTGCGGTGTTTTCACATCACCTTTAAGCATTAGCATACAATGCAGTGGAAGAGCGGCTACTTGATTTGTAGCTTGGGATTGATTGAATTACTGGTCAATTAACAGAGAGTTACCAGAATTATACTGGTCATTTATTAAAATGTGATACCATGTGTTTTGTGTATTTTATTATGTGTTGTGTGTCCAAAAAGTCTTTTAAGAAATGTTGTGTTTCATCTGGCTGCAAGACAAATGTCCCTTCAGGGATAATTAAGCAAACTGAGAAGAATTATTTAATACTTAATTTAATAATTTCATACTTTTGGGTTTGTATCTGTTCGTCAGATTTTATAAGTAATTCTAAGACATTGTTTTTGGCTCAGCTCATCTCTGATGGGGATTATAATTATTCTTAAACTAAATAATTTATCAATCAAGCTTTATTTACACTGTAGTCTTTTTAATTAAAGGCCCATATGAAGAATCACTGACAAACAGTCCTGACTAAAATGTTTTGTAGGTCAAGTTTCCTCAGAAACGGACGAGGTGTTTGCTTGTGGATTACTGTAGAAAGGAGCAAGGTGAAGCGTGAAAACGCGAATGATTGTGTGAATGATTAACGGGGCCACGTCGATCAGTGTCCCCAAACCGTGGTGCTATTGTGTTGCCATGGTAGATTACAGTAGTCTAGAAAATAAGAAGTGGGTTAAAGTGCTAATGGTGTTATTGCTGAGTCTTTCATCATTTTCTGTACATACTCTCTCACTTAGTCATAGTATTTCCTCACTGTTGTTGACGCCGACTCTTTCTTTGGTACACAGTTTCAGGGAGAACAGCTCACGGCGTGTTCTTTGGACTGTCTGGATTTTCCAGTGTAACACTGCTGATTCGTTTAAATGTATATTTTTAATAGTTTGAGCCACACAACTGAAATTCCACCCACCTCCGCTGTACTGGGGCGGATACAGAAATGTCAGTCGTCTTGAGACTCAGGCAAATTAAACCGAAACTATCTGCATTGTTAGATGTAAGAGAATGTTTTTTGTGATTTGGGACAACCAGCAGTGTAGTGGTGCCTGGATAAGTGGGTATACTCTTAATTTATGCCCCTTTTTTTATTTTCTTCCAGCAAAGAACAAACGCCCTGTGTTAGAAACAGTGACATGCAAGACTACTCTTGCACATTTAGCTCTGTAGAATTTGCATATTGTCACTTAACCGCTGCTGCTTGACTTCAGTGAGTAAGGATCATTATAAATTTGACGTTAGCCACAGAGGAAGTGCAGATTTTGCAATTAATACTGGCTCAAAAACCAGTGAGACGGCTACACAATTATGTATTCCTTACTCCATCCACAAATTAGACAACTATGTTATGCCTTTGCCATCCTAGCAAAAGAATTACGTGCATCAGAGGAGATTTTAGAAGAGGTAAAACCAATGCTGAGAGAAAATGAAGTGTGTATACCAGCAGACACTGCACTACACAACTGGGGATAACAGATTTTTTTTTATGTTTCATAAGGGTCCCTTCAATGTGTGTTACAGTTATACAATCAGAATATTGGTAGATGAACGTATGATGTATGAAGGGTTTCTCTGCTCCTGCACGCTGTCTGATGTGTCTGTGTGTGTCTCACAGGAGAGAAGAAGTTTGTGTGCACAGAGTGCTCCAAGAGGTTCATGCGGAGCGACCACCTGGCCAAGCACATAAAGACTCACCAGAATAAAAAAGGCGTTCCCTCCACGTCTCCGCCCACCACCGACACCGTCATCACCGCCGACGGAACCACGCTCATCCTCCAGACCGCCACCACCCACGACCTCGTAGGCAATCAGGAGATCCCTTTACAGCTGGTCACGGTGGCGCCCGGTGAGGTCATGGAATGAGGGCGGGCGGTGAGGTGGTTTTTTTGAGAACTGACCTATCACAGGGACCTCTTGGGCTTTTCTCTTTCCCTCTTACCTTTTTTTTTTGTTTGTTTTTTACATATGAATATATACGTAAATATATATGACAAATATATATATTTTAAGTAAGAGTTATCATGACTTTATGTTTGTTTTTTGCAGTCTTTTTATAGGCGAGCAAAAAAAAAAAAACATTAAAATGTGGTCGCTATGTACACGCGTAAACACACTCGCAGACACACACACACACACACACAAGAAAACATGTATTAACACTCAACACAATGAAATGCCTTATTTTGTATCATACTCTTGTATAAAATGCTGGAGGTGCATGTGTTTTTTAAGCTTCGCAGATGATGTAACTGTAATGGAGATAAATGTGTTTGTGAAACAGAGATGAGGTGGGAGTTTTCTGAAAGAGAGGGAAGGAAAGTTGTGAACCTCTCTGGGACGATTTTGAATTTTTGTCTCCGGAGAGTCCTGACAAAACCGAGCAGTCTGGGTTATTTTTATTTTTTTTGAAGAAGCACTGCATCCACGCTGAACTGTTGCTGCCACCACGAACGAATGCTTTTGTTTTTTAAAGGAATAGTTCAACAATTTGGGACGTAATGCTCATTCGCTCTCTTGCTGAGACTTGGATGAGTTGATACCATTTCCACATGTGAGTAGTATCAGTCTCCTCTAACTCTCGTTAAGAAAGAAAATCAGCGTTTTGCCCAAATATGTAACTCTTCCTTTAATAAACCCGCAGTAACTGTTGCCCCAATCACTGACAGCCAACAGGACGCCGGTGACGCTGGTGTCATCCTGTGCCGATTCGAGCTGTGCGGGAGGTTCAGCTGGTGGTCAGAGTAGGACGACAGTG